CTTCTTGCAACTGCTCGCGTCAAGGTCGCGGACCGCTACGGATCACCACACGAGGTTAAAGTCTTGATCGACCAGTGCTCCGAGGTGTCCATCATCTCTGAAGCACTGGCTCAACGTCTTCGCCTTCCTCGAGCTTCGACGGATCTGTCCATCTTTGGCATCGGAGGGACTCGCTCTGGATCGGCTCGTGGCAAGGTCCCCTGGACATCACATCCGACGTGACCAACGCCGAGCTTCGCGTGGTCGCTTTTGTGCTGCCCCGCATCTCACTACAACAAGGCACCGCCCAACGCGAGAATTGCAGCTGGCCTCACATCCAAGGACTCCGATTGGCCGACCCGCGGTACCTGGATGACGACCCTGCGGAGCTACTTCTTGGTGCAGAGGTCTACTCGTTGATTCTTGAGGAAGGCCTTCGCAAGGGCGACTCACGCATGCCGATCGCCCAGCAGACCAGTTTAGGATGGATCCTGTCCGGAGGCTACGACTCAGCAGTCACCGACGGACATCGCTGCACGTTTCAGTGCACCGCCGACAACGACCTCGCTGACCTGGTGCGACGATTCTGAGAGCAGGAACGCGAGCCAGCAGCTGGGATCGTGCTCACCGCCGACGAAGCCAGATGCGAGGACCTCTATGTGCGCACAGTCACACGCACATCCAGTAGAAGATACGTGGTGAGGCTGCCATTTGCCTCACCGCCAACATCACTCAGCGAGACTCGTCGACCTGCAGAGCGCCTCCTGGAAGCAATGCAGCGGAAGGGAGCCCGTGATGCTCGGTTCGGTGATCTCTATCGAGACTTCATGGACGAATACGAAAACCTGCAACACATGGAGAAGGTTAGTACGTCTACAACAGGTTCTGGCCCCAGGTGCTACTTACCGCATCACGGGGTCCTCAAGGAGTCGAGCACGACCACGAAGCTCAGGGTTGTGTTCAACGGCTTCCAACGCACACGGTCCGGAGAGTCGCTGAACTCGCACCTCCTCACTGGAGCTAATCTCTTGCCCGCACTCGCTGACGTCTTACTCCGTTGGCGTTGGCATCGGTACGTTTTCGTCACGGACATCGAGAAAATGTACCGACAAATTCTCGTGCATCCGGAGGATTGTCGCCTGCAAACCATCCTGTGGCGCCACAACAGCTCGGACAACATCCGCGAGTACGAGTTGAAGACCGTGACCTACGGACTGGCGTGCGCGCCTTTCCTCGCCATCAGGACTCTTCACCAACTTGCTGCAGACGAAGAGGCACAATATCCACGCGGAGTCAGGGCGCTGCGACACGACTGTTACGTCGACGACGTGGTCACCGGTGCTGACAGCCTGGCGGATGCTATCGAACTCCAACAGGAACTACAGAGTCTCTCCATGGCGGGCGGATTTCCTTTGCGAAAGTGGGCTGCCAACAATCAGCAGGTGCTCACCGGAATTCCACTGGAACATCGGCTTCAACGCGGACCGCACTCGTGGGAAGGAGAGAGCCACGCTACCCTGGGTCTTCGATGGCATCCTCAAGGTGATTGGTTCTCCTTCGCCATACGTCCACGCTCAATCACCGACCTCACGAAGAGACGAGTCTTGGCCGAGACAGCTCGACTATTCGATCCGATGGGCTGGCTAGCGCCTGTCGTCATCCGAGCCAAAATTCTGATCCAGTCTACGTGGCTTCAACGGCTGGATTGGGACTCTCCGCTGCCTGATCAGGACGCACACCGCTGGAAACAACTGTTGAATCAACTTCCGTTGCTGGATCACATCCGTGTGGATCGTTAGCTTAGCACCGGAGATGACCAGTCGCAGTTGCAGCTCCATGGGTTTGCCGATGCATCGGAGCGAGGATACGCCGCCGTCGTGTACATCCGCAACGCTGCAACAGAGAAAACATCAATTAATCTGCTGATGGCAAAATCGAAGGTCGCACCAGTCAAGCAGGTGTCGCTACCTCGATTGGAACTTTGTGCCGCCGCATTACTCACCACGCTCATGCTGCATGTACGCACTACCCTCGGCTTGGCTGCTACGCCGGTGCACCTGTGGTCCGACTCCAAGGTCACTCTTCACTGGATTCGCGGACACTGCACCCGCTGGAAGACCTTTGTTGCCAACCTAGTGTCGCAGATCCAGACCCTGCTTCCAGACGCTCATTGGAGACACGTCGCCGGACGAGAAAACCCTGCAGATTGTGCATCGCGTGGTGTTACACCTGAGGACTTACTCAATCATAAACTGTGGTGGACAGGACCTACCTGGCTGTCAGGAGACGAGGCTGCATGGCCTGGTGCAGACATCGACGCTTTATTATGATAATCAAATTCAGCAAAATCAGCAAAATTCTTTATTATGATAATCTCGGTATTACCAATCCTTCGAGTGCAGCATCACAGAATCAAAAATTGTCAGTATTTTATTAAACATTAGGAAACATATTCTGAAATTAGATCGTCAAAGAATGCTATTCAATTATATGCAATTTTAAAAATAAAATATTTAAGAAACCAGGAACTTTGGAATTACTCATAAAAAATATTACAATATAACATTAGAAAATGAAGGTATTAGTATAAATCTTGGAGCAGAAACAAGGAGTTTTAAGTGTTCAATATTATTTTGTGTGAGAGATACTCCTGCTGCTGCAATTCTAGGTGGCTTTAAAGAATCAGTTTCAGCTTATCGATTTTGTCGATCCTGTTTAGCAATATCTCAAAAATATAAAAATTATTTTCGTAAAAATAATTTTACGATTCGTAATAAGATAACTCAAAACAATCATATTGAAATTGTAACTTATCCTACATTAACAAAGGAAGCGACATTTTGGAAAAAAACATTTAGAGTGATAAATAAAAGTCCTCTGTTACGAAGTTCTAATGTAGATGTGACACTATGTCTACCTCAAGATTGTATGCATATTCTCATCAAAGGTCTTGTAGAAATTGCTATTCGTTGTTTACTAAAATATTTCATTTTTGAAATGTAATTGTTTACAATTGAATAATTTAACAAGCGTATTTGTGCGAATTCGCGGCAACGCGGAGTGCGAATCGGTGTGCGAGTGAATATTAATATTACCTAAGGAGCACAGCACAACGACACCAAAAAAAAGGAAGACAATGTTAATGAGAACGGCACTGTATTTTTTACTATATACAAGAAATGAGAGTCGCGCACAGGTGGCGTGATAAAGAATACACGGATTGCAAGAAGTGCAATCGACAAGGAATAAAGTATTCGCGAGAAGTGCGATACCACGGAACTTTGTAAAAAGCGTAACGAAAAAAACTCTCGGTCTGTGCGTGCGAGCTGCGACAAAGCGAGTGAGAATAGGACGCGCGGGAAAACAGTTTTATCCTGCCGACCTTCGAGAAGGTTCCAATGTAAAATTACCGAACTTGTAATTTTGCAATGTAATGATGTGGAATCTTCTCGAGTGTCGGAGGACAAAACTGTTTTGCCTTTTCTGTTTTGTTTGGCCAGCCCGCGTAAGCGGGCTGGCGACAGCCGAATGCGTTTGGCGCGTGAAACGCGCGCAGCGCGATTGGTGCCTTGCGATTAGCGCAAATTGACGCGCCGAATTTGATATTGACAAATATCACTTTTCCGCACTGCATGCGTACATGCACTTACACACATACACTCTCTCTCTCTCTCTCTCTCTCTCATCCGCAACATTCCGCCCGCCTCGTCGCGACGAGCGACGAACGATTTTTTTTTTTTTTAATGAGAGGTGCTAAAACGAAGGAAGCATTGAGATGCAGCGGAGAATACGATGCGCGAAACGAGAGTGAGTATACGACTCAATGTTTTACAGTTTTTTGACGACGAACAAGAATAATGATGCGTTTTATTATTATTTACAGTATATACAGTCGCGACGGAACTCGCGGCACGGGGTTTATGCGGGTGGCCCTGGGTCCTTGGCGGCAGCCGTCGGCAGTGGTACGATTTTAACCACTGGCCGGGTTAACTCGCCAACGGACGTGCGGACGTCCACCACGCGTATCTCCTCGTCCATGCCGGGGTGCACGCGCGTGACCCGAGCAAGCGGCCACCGGCACGGCGGGGTATTCTCGCCCTTGACCAGACACAACTGGCCCTCGAGAATAGCTCTACGAATGGCCCACCATTTGGGCCGCGGGCTGAGGTGCTGTATATACTCGCGGGTCCACCGCTGCCACAGGTGATCCCGCATCTGCTGCAGGAGACGCCACCGATTCAGCCGGTTGGCTGATGCGTCCAGGAGTGACGGCTCCGGGATGGCGAGAAGAGGGCTTCCCACCAGGTGCCCAACAATAGTCTGGATCTCACGGCCAGCAGCCTTGAAGAGGGCCTTAAGATGTCGGTCCGCGCCCACAAAGTTAGTGCCACAGTCGCTATACATGACTGTGCACAACCCTCGTCGGGACACGAACCGACGAAAGGCCGCTAGGAAGGCCTCGGCGGTGTAGTCGCTGACAGCTTCAAGATGTACGGCGCGGGAGCTAAAACAAACGAATACCACCAAAAAACCCTTGTAGGCCTTGTGTCTTAGGCCTCTCGTCGTTTGAAGCCACACCGGGCCGGCGAGGTCCACGCCGGTGTGCTGGAATGGGCGGCTCGGAGTGACGCGCGCTCTTGGCAGGTCGCCCATCTTTGGCCGTGGAGTGGCCGCCCGCCATCGGATGCACGGGGGGCAACTATGAATGTGGCTGCGAACCACTTGACGTCCTCGCGGAATCCAAAAACGCTGCCTGATATGAGCCAAGGTGGCCTGGACTCCGCCGTGAAGTGTTCGCCTGTGGGCGGCGTCAACCACCAGGTGCGTCAGGTGAGACTGCGGCGGTAGGATGGCAGGATGACGTTGATCGGCATCCAAAATTGCGTGTTTCAGACGTCCGCTGACTCGCAGGGTGCCCTCGTCGTCCAACATGGGAACCAGCTTGCGGAGTGAGCTCCGGGCAGGCAGCGTCTTTCCAGCACGGACGTTCTGCAGCTCGGCATGGTAGCTCGACTCCTGAGCTACCTGGATCCATTTAGATAAAGCGGCCTCCAACTCCTCAGGTTCCAAGGAGGCCGACACAGCTTCGCTGTCTGCTGAGTGACGCCCTCGTGCCCTCCAGCGCCAGATCCAGGCGGACACGCGAAGCAGGCGACGAAGGCAGGAAAAGCGGCAGAGCTCCTCAGCTTCTCGTTCCTCGGCGGCTGCATGGCATCGGAACGGTCGCTGCTCCGGTAAGTCGGCCGTCTCCAAGAGTCCGATGTCCTTCGGCCAAAAGTCCGCGTGATGACGGAGATATTCCGGCCCTCGCCACCACAGATGGTTCCAGGAGCTCCTTCGTTGACACCCCTCGGGAGGCACAGTCTGCAGGGTTCATCCTTGCCAGGTACGTGCCGCCATCTTGCATCCTGGTTGTCGCGGTGAATTTCCGCGACGCGGTTGGCTACGTACGTATTCCACTTTGCAGGGTGTCCACGTATCCAGCCAAGTGTCACCGTAAAATCCGTCCAGAGGGTGACCGCCGACCTCTCCAGACCCAAGGAGAGCCGCACATGTTCTGCTAGCTTTGACAGCAGAGCCGCTCCGCAAAGCTCTAGTCTCGGCAGCGATACACGCTTCAACGGGGCCACCCTGCTCTTGGCGACCACCAGGTTGATGCGGGGCAGTCCGTCATCCTCCACCCTGCTGTAGACCACAGCAGCGTAAGCCCGTTCAGAGGCATCTGAGAAGCCGTGGAGCTCCACGGGGCTGTGTGGAGCGTTGCTGTGCAGCCAACGTGGCAGTTTGATCTTCTCCAGTACCGGCAATTCCTCCTCGAGGGCTGTCCATGCGGCGGTGTCCTCGCGTGATAGCGGTGCGTCCCACTCGAGCTGCTGCAGCCACGCCGACTGGATCAGCAACTTTGCACGCACGAGGATTGGTGCTAGCCAGCCCAGCGGGTCGAACAGGCGAGCGGTCTGCGCCAGCACGGTCTGCTTGGTAGGTGGGGCCGATGGAGTCAGTCGGACAGACAACGAGAAGGTGTCTTCGTGCGGATTCCAGCGAAGACCCAGCACCGAATGCTCGTCTGCAGGTAACCTCGCGCCGGTCGTCGTGCCTAGTTGATGCTCGACAGGGATGAACTCCAGGAGGCGGTTGTCGTTAGAGGCCCACTTCCTCAGCGGAAAGCCGCCCGCCATGCAGAGCGAGGTCACTTGTCTCAGAAGGCAACGAGCAGAGTCCAGGTCAGCAGCTCCGGTGAGTATGTCGTCCACATACACGTCGTGCTGCAAGACGTCGGCACCAAGCGGGAAACGGTTGGCTTCGTCTGACGCAAGCTGCCGCAGCACTCGTATGGCGAGGTATGGTGCGCTCGCCAAGCCATACATGACCGTATTTAGCCGGTACTCGCTGACCCCGTTGTTCTCTGCCCACAGGATCCGTTGTAGATCTCGATCGTCCGGATGAAGCTGAATTTGCCGGTACATCATTTGAACGTCGGCCATAAAGACGTACCGGTGCCGCCGCCATCGAGTCAAGACATCAGCGAGAGACGGCAGCAAGTTAGGTCCAGAGTGCAGCACACCGTTGAGAGACGCCCCGGCGCCCGTGCGAGCTGATCCGTTGAAAACGACGCGGATCTTGGAACCGGCAGCCGAAGTCCGCAGCACCCCATGATGCGGCAAGAAATTGATCCGGTCACCTGGTGAAGCCACAGTGGAGGCAGCGAGCGTCATATGCCCGAGGGTGATGTACTCGCGTATGAAGTCGCGGTACAGCACCCCGAAGTTGTTGTCGCGGTCGAAGCGACGCCTCATGACGTCGAGGAGCCGTGATGCGGCGCGACGGGTGGAGCTTAGGTCCGGCAACCTCGATCGCAGCGGGAGCCGCACCTGATAGCGGCCGTCTGATAGTCGTCGATGGGTGCGCAAGAAGTGGTCCTCGCACTCCTGCTCGTCAGCGGTCAGCGGAAGGACGGCACGGGAAGGCTCCTCCGTTTCCCAAAAACGACGCACCAGCTCGGCAAGGTCCTCCACTGTGGTACATTGCAACGACGACACGGGATTCGTGATGTGGCCAACAGCACCCATCCGAAGCGCGTCAGCAGCGCTCCTGGCTCCTGCGGCCCTCCTCTACAAAGACCTTCCGGCAAGGCGAGGTCCAGATACACGTCCGCACCGAGCAGTAGTTCCACGGGATCCTGGCGGTGGAATTCAGGATCAGCGAGGTCGAGGTCCTCAAGGTGCGCGCTTCTCCCTCAGGAATGCCGCCGTACACGGTTAGGCGCGGCAGCACGAGAGGCGAAGCGGCGAACGCAAAGTGCCCGTCGCGCGAGAAGATGGTGACCGCTGTTCGCCCTCGAGAGACGCCTGACTGGATGCCACCTACTCCGAAGATGGCCACTGAGGAGGGAGTCCGCGGCAGGCGAAGGCGTTGTGCCAGAGATACCGCGATCAGTGATGTCTCCGAACCCGAGTCAATCAGGGCGCGGACGTCGTGGCAAGTGCCCGCGCGATCAGCCACCAGCACGCGCGCGGTTGCCAGAAGCGCTGATCGGCATTCCACCGGCGGTCGCCTGGCCACGTGGGTCGTCACCGCGGAAGATGGTCCGGCAGCAGGCAGAGCCACAACGGTGAAGGTGTCGTGAAGAGACGAATGGTGCTTGCCAGAGCACTTCATGCACACCTTGGAGGACGTGCAATCAGCAAGGAGATGCCGACCCAGGCAGTTCCAGCACCGTTGGTGAGCATTGATTGCCTCTTTTTTTTCAGCCACTGTTTTTCTCTTGTACAGCTCACAGTACGCGATGAAGTGATCCTTCTTGCAGAGCGGACAGCTGCGGCTCGGGTCTGATCCCTTGCTCCCCACGTGCGAGCGGCGCGGTTGGACTTCTCCAAGGGCTTGCCAGATGGTCCGGGCCTGGTGGACTGGAGGACCTCCAAGGTCATCAGCTGCTCTTGCAGGAACTCCCGGAGCGTGTCGTACGACGGCGGCTCGGCAGACTTGCCGAGCGAACTCTCCCACTCGCGTCAAGTTTCGGCGTCCAGCAGTTCGACGACCAGGTGCACAAAAAGGTCGGTGCAGTCGCTTATCGGACGCCCGATGCCCTTCAGAGCGCCGACTGTGGTGAGTACGCCGTGGAAGATTCGACGGATGCCGTCGGGCGAGGAAGCCTTCATCCTCGGCAGCGATGTGAAGGCCGTCAGGTAGGAACGCACGAGGAAGCGCTTGTTCTCGAAATATGTCGTCAGCATGTCCCATGCCTGTTCCAGGTTGTCTTCCGTGGAGGGCAAGTTCCGAATGAGCTGCTCCGCGTCGCCCTTGACACTCGTCCTGAGATAGTGCAGCTGCTCGATCTTAGTCAAGGATGGATCCCCGAGGATGATGGAGCAGAACAGGTCCCGGAAGCTTGGCCAATCCTCGAACTTGCCACTGAAGAATTGAGGCAGATTGATGCGTGGCAGGGTCTTGCGGGACGACGCGCTTCCTCGAGTCTTCTCGGAGGTGTCAGCTTCCGATGGCTTGGAAAGCCTTTCCTCCATCTCGGCGAGTTCGGAGCGTTGCGTGTAATACGCCGTTTCGACCTTGCTTGGAAGGTCGTCGGAGGTGTACTCATCTTCCTTTATCTCCTTCCAGTATTTGTCGCGGAGCTCCTCGTGCAGCTCCTGAAATCTGGTCCACTTGTCGTCCAGGAGGCGGATCGCAGCTTGGATGGTGTCCACGTTCAGCTTGGCCGCCCCGATTTTTCGTAAATTGTCGACACTACGTAATATACGCACGTGAAGTTCATGTTGAGCGTCGATCAATTTATCCATGCCCATTTTGTTTGTTACAGGTCACAGGACACCCCGGTCGCGCACACACTTAGACTGCAAAGCACAGAAGATGCCGGACGCGACGAAGACGCGGAGAGATCCGGCTCGGAGGACCAAAAAATGTGCGAATTCGCGGCAACGCGGAGTGCGAACCGGTGTGCAAGTGAATATTGATATTACCTACGGAGCACAGCACAACGACACAAAAAAAAAAGGAAGACAATGTTAATGAGAACGGCACTGTATTTTTTACTATATACAAGAAATGAGAGTCGCGCACAGGTGGCGTGATAAAAAATACACGGATTGCAAGAAGTGCAATCGACAAGGAATAAAGTATTCGCGAGAAGTGCGATACCACGGAACTTTGTAAAAAGCGTAACGAAAAAAACTCTCGGTCTGTGCGTGCGAGCTGCGACAAAGCGAGTGAGAATAGGACGCGCGGGAAAACAGTTTTATCCTGCCGACCTTCGAGAAGGTTCCAATGTAAAATTACCGAACTTGTAATTTTGCAATGTAATGATGTGGAATCCTCTCGAGTGTCGGAGGACAAAACTGTTTTGCCGTTTCTGTTTTGTTTGGCCAGCCCGCGTAAGCGGGCTGGCGACAGCCGAAGGCGTTTGGCGCGCGAAACGCGCGCAGCGCGATTGGTGCCTTGCGATTAGCGCAAATTGACGCGCCGAATTTGATATTGAAAAATATCACTTTTCCGCACTGCATGCGTACATGCACTCACACACATACACACTCTCTCTCTTTCTCTCTCTCTCTCTCATCCGCAACAGTATTACTCATTTTGATTACGGTCATTTTAAGAAAGATAAACCTGCTCTAATTCTTCGTAATTATTTTGTTGATAGCGTTTTACGACAAAGTGCAAAGCATAAATATTTACTCTAGCACACATGTTGCTTTTGTTAATTGCAGATTGAATGCAATATGAAAATCCACATTTGACTGAGCACCTAAATTGTTATATTTTACTATTGCAAATCATGAATGTTTGTTTTGCTTATGAGATACACGAAGAATTAAGTTATTGAGTCGAATGATTGAAGTGTATATTACACAATTCATTAATTTATATCCAGATTTATTGTATCAAAATTTCACTTTTAATTCATGTTTCGAGATACATTAAATTATTTGGACCACCAAGACAACAATGGTGCTTCAGATTTAAAGCATGTCATGCATATTTTAAGTCGCTTGTGCCAGTTGTACATAATTTTAAAAATATGGCTCTTACAATGTCATATAGACATCAATCGCGCCTGTATATCACATTAGCTTCATATCCTGGTACCAATTGTAGGCATTTTTTTATAAAGACGTTAACCGACGATGAGATTAGCTGATTTACGTGTTTTGTTTGTCGACCTCGTGCCGGGTACTTATTTATTTGTAATATTTATTATTGAAAGCGTTCTGAGCGATCCTTTGTTTGTCGAGAAAACCGAAAACACAGTTCTGCGCGATGAACGAAGGTAATTCTGATTGGTCCGATGTTTCGGGTAGGAAAGGTTTTAACACCGGGTATAAATATGCCGACTTTTTGGGAATCGGGACAGACAATAGAGAACCGAACAGAACAGATCATATCTCTCTTCTTCGAAACATCGAACGACGGCGAAAACGGCAAGATACGGCTCTGAAGAATTGTCGACGTGAAGACGTGTAATATTCACAATTGCACATTATACATACATATACATACTATCATTTTGCGTTGGAATAAATTAAACCTTTGGCCTATCCATTGAAACACGATATCCTAATCGAAACGGTGAGAGAAACATTCTATTTCTCTCTCTCACGCTCATCAGACCCCTACAGTAAATCAGAAGTGGGATCGAGGCGTTGCACCCAGTTTCGCGAATTCGACTGGAGACAGGCGATTTCGGGATTTGTTCACGATACGTGTCGAGTGTGAGACGCGCAGGTAGAGACGATTGACGCGTGGTGATCGTCGGGTTGCGTGAGTATCGTGGACGTCGCGGTGTGCCGAATAGTCGAGCGAATCGGAGTGACAGCAACGATGCAGCCAAGTGACTTTACCATTGCCGAGATGAAGGAGGCTCTTCGCGAGAGGGGACTGACGTTAGGAGGATCAAAGGCCGAGCTCATCCAGCGGCTGAACACCAACGACTCAGGTGTGTGGACAAAATTGAGCGATCAACGGAGGCAGGCGATTTGTTCGGATGACATCCTGGATTCGGAAACTGCGCGTTCGCCCAGTGAACAAGGTGACGCTATGGAGATGGAGACCGTGGACGACACCCCGAGACTAGCGGATCGAGTGAGCATGACGACGCCGGAACCGAGAGAGTGTGACGACGCGATGCAGGCAGAACTTTTGCTATTGCGTCGAGAACGAGAGATTTTGGAGAGAGAGCGGCAGTTACTTCAACGAGAAATAGAAGTAATGAGAAGTGCAACCTCCACACCGACGACAACGAACGGCAGTGTCATTTCTGCGTTCGGCGGTGTGAGGGGAATTAAGGAGTTGCTGCCTGAATTTGACGCAACGGATAGCACCTTCTGGAGGTGGAAGCAGCAGTTGGAGCTGCTGAGACGCACGTATCAGCTGGACGAGAATTCGACGAGAGTGTTGATTAGCTCTCGGTTGAAAGGCCGTGCGTTGACCTGGTTTTACTCAAAGGCCGAGTATGTGACGCTGGACCTGGAGGACCTTCTGCGAGAGATGGAGTCGATGTTCGACCTGCGGCCAGGAAAGCTGACACTGAGGAGAGAATTCGAGGCTCGTGTGTGGAAAGGAGACGAGCAGTTTTGCGATTATTACCACGAAAAGGTGATTCTCGCAAATCGCGTACCAATCGCGGAAGACGAACTCCTCGATTACATCATCGAAGGAGTGACGGATCCTCGGCTGCAGAGTCAGGCGCGCCTGATGAACTTCCAATCTGGAAGAGAGCTATTGAAGGCGTTCGAGAAGGTGGTTCGAGGGAATCCAAAGAGACCAGACGTCCGGCCAGGGAGAGACGGAGCGAGGACGACCAGCGGAGGAAGAGCAGAGACGGCGACGCGGGGAGACTCGACGGGGTGCTATAAGTGTCGCGAAACGGGACATACCGCGGCTCAGTGTGTGCGACCGCAAGCGAAGCGGGTGTGTTATGTGTGCGAATCTCCGAATCATTTCGCCAGAGAATGTCCAAAGCGAAATCGGTCCGCGGCGTCGGAAACGCCGAACAGCGTTGCGCAAACTACGTCGATGAACGTCGTGCAACCGGTTGCATTATTAAAGCCATATACAATCACTGTAAAAATTATAACTGAAAACGAGAATAAAGGTTTTGACAATTACGTGATGGACGCAATCATAGATTCGGGTTCTCCGATCAGTTTAGTTAAAAGCGAGATAATTCAGGGCGATTCACGTCTGCTCGAGAACGAGAGCATCGATCAATTTTGCGGAATCAACGGCTCGCGGTTAAATATCGACGGCATCGCTCACGCTGACTTAGAGGTGAGAGGCGTGCGTTTGGAAATGAAATTTTACACGGTGCCCCATAGTACGATGGCGTATAGCGTATTACTCGGTCGGGATTTCCTGAATTGTCCGTCGCTGCGTGTAACATTAGAGCGAGATTTTGAAATTACAAACGCGGAAGAAGCGCGCGTTAGTCAAATGATGCATATTGAATGCGACGACAATGTGGTATGTTCGAGCGAAAAAGTGAAAATTAATCCGGCGGTTGATGAAGATACCACCAAAAAGATCTGCGAGGTCTACGAATCTCATGGTTTGAGTAGTCTTCGAGCGGAGAAGTGCGTGCCGGATCTCGAGAGGGTTATCGAATTAAAACACGAACGACCGAGCGATGAGAGTATAGAGTCTGCGTTGAATGATCCGGTGCCATGTAACATCAGGGACGTACATAGGTTCGTCGGACTCGCGAGTCATTTTCATCGATCTATGCCGAGATTTTTATTGGTGGCAAAATCATTGTACGATTTTATTCGAAAAAACTCTGTTTTCAAGTTTGGGCGTCACCTGTTTGTCGTCATCGACGTGTTCGCTAAATTTATCCGGCTCTACCCGCGTAAGTCAACAGCATCGGAGGAATCGATAGAGTATCTCTTTAAATATTTCTGCGCGTATGGTAAATCGAGACGTTCAATTTCGAACAGAGGAACTTGTGTCAAATCTGACATATTTGAGAGATATTTGGGATCCGGTGCTATAGAGCACGTATCAATTGCTGTGGGCACGCCGAGGGCAAACGGACAGGTGGAAAATATGATAGAATGATAATTCCGATGGTGAAAAATTGAGCAGCGAGGTGATGCGAGCGATCTATTACGCGATCCAATTAAGGTGAGCGATTATCCGTAGCGCGACCTCGACGCGAGATAAACCTCAGACAAATATTGACGAAGCGCAAAAGAAAAAACGAGATGTGATATAATTTGCGACGGATCAAATGCACCCGTATATTCGAGCATGATTATATATTATTTGGTAAAAGAATTTTATTTATTGCGTATTGTAATTTTGGTAATAACGTTGACCGGGACGGTCAAAAAGTCAGGATGGCCGAGCTGTAGGCATTTTTTTATAAAGACGTTAACCGACGATGAGATTAGCTGATTTACGTGTTTTGTTTGTCGACCTCGTGCCGGGTACTTATTTATTTGTAATATTTATTATTGAAAGCGTTCTGAGCGATCCTTTGTTTGTCGAGAAAACCGAAAACACAGTTCTGCGCGATGAACGAAGGTAATTCTGATTGGTCCGATGTTTCGGGTAGGGAAGGTTTTAACACCGGGTATAAATATGCCGACTTTTTGGGAATCGGGACAGACAATAGAGAACCGAACAGAACAGATCATATCTCTCTTCTTCGAAACATCGAACGACGGCGAAAACGGCAAGATACGGCTCTGAAGAATTGTCGACGTGAAGACGTGTAATATTCACAATTGCACATTATACATACATATACATACTATCATTTTGCGTTGGGATAAATTAAACCTTTGGC